GGTGCTAAACTTAGTTGGGGGGCCACGCGGCGCGGCAGCTCTGCTCGTCTGGCATGTTCGAAATCCGTGGGCCAGGGGGAGTGTAGCCAGCCTAGGGGGTTGGGGGGTGGGGGCAGTCACTTGACATGCGTGAAAAGCTGGAATGTTCGAGTTTACACTGTCTCGCTCGAGAGGGCCCAGGTGAGCAGACTGCCGCGCCGCCGCGTGGCCCCCCCAACTAAGTTAGCACCCAATTATGAAACCTTCGAAAAAAGCCTTTTGGAAGAGTGAACCTGATAGCAAAGAGTGGAACTTGCTCAAACTTGCGTGCACAAGATAGATATGCGTAGGATTAACAGTGCGTTACTTTTAAGAGCCTTTTTCGAAGGTCTCTTAGTCTTCGAAGGATACGCATAGCCCCAAATATGCTCCATATGAGCTTGGTCCGAATTCTGGCTCTCGAAACTTCAAAACTCCGCATTAATTATCAATAAAGTTTTTTTCGACAATGATAGTACTGTTTTCAAACCTCCTGCAATACGATTTTTATTGAAATTTTACAATTCTCACGAACTATGATGTTAATAAAACTAATCTAAACCTAAACTTGCTTTGTTCAAGTGTTTTATTAAATTGTAAACGTTGAAAATGAATGCCATCACGAAAAGTTTTCTTGTGAAATGTATGCTTTGTAGCCATTTGTTCTCAAGGGCTTCGGTTTCGACTGATTAGTCGCTGATATTTTCTTCAGTCTCTTAACTGCGTTGTGTTCTAGAGAAAACGGGTAAGGGCCGCGTAGCCTTCTGTGGCGAAGTGCAATTCTCCGATGGTGAATGGGTCGGCGTAATTCTTGACGAACCTCGAGGCAAGAACAATGGTACTGTGCAGGGCGTACAGTATTTCACTTGTGAACCAAACTATGGTCTTTTTATCCGGCCAACCCAAGTAAGTTGATGTGTTTTTGTTCCGATGACATCTTTATCTTATATGCAAGCTTTATTTCATTACTTTCTAATTGCAAAAAATCGCGATTGTTATCGTTACGATTTCATGGTGTTTTAGTTAAAACCAGAATCGGCTCGTTCACGTACTAGTGGGTTAAGAACTCCGGCAACAAGGAAGGAAGTTGCCGCTCCATCGAAAGCTGCACGCTCTTCTCCAAGTGTATGTGTTCACTACATTTTAGTATTGCTTTTTTGTTTCGCTGCTTTTATGATCCAAATCTATAATCTTTCATAATCATCTACATTTGGAAAGTTAGAATCGAAAGGAGGAAAGAGTATACCACTATAATTGATCCAAAGAAACCGTCTGGATTTTCTAGGGAAGTCCGAAGGTGAGCCCATCGGTTTCGCTCGAACGCCTTTCTAAAGCTGCAGGTCCGAAGAGGGTTCTCTCGTCCTCAAAGCTCGTCGATAATGCGAACGAAGTGAGTCATTACCAAATGGATGTGGGATTACTATTTTTCCCAATATTTTTCCTTTTTGCCTTTTTCTTTTATTTAGCTGTTAGCTTCTAGATCATTTTTGACACCCTAGATTTAAATCAGCTCTTTGGAACTTTTAGAGAAGAAAATCTGCTGCATCCAGTACTCAACATACGGTAGGACATTGGGTTGCTAGTCGGATTAGGCATGTCAGGTGTTCGAAGTTTAGAGGCTATTAAATGATGAATCAACGATTTAATTATCTGTAACTGGTGCGGAAAATGCTAGAAAGACAGTGCGGGCAGAATAATTTTTTTGTGAAAATCAAATGTCTCAATTGTTAAGTTATTAGGAAGCACTTAAATTTCGAACACCTTGTCTGCTGCTGCTGCACGCTGCGGCTCTCGCAACTTATCATTTCATCTGACTAACAACGCCTCTTCTACTATGCTTTTTAACGTAGCATCTCTTTTCCATGCTTACAAGATCTTACAGACACAATCGCCTGGGATTACTTCTCAGCACCACACACACCCTGATTTTTTCCCTAATACAGTCAAAGAATTTTAGCCCAAAATGTCTCGAGAGGCTTCGAATCTGTCGCAAGCGGGCTCAGAGAAAGGAGAAAAACAAGACAAGGAGATAATCCAAGAAAAAGCTGCCGACAAGAGTCCTGAAAAACCAGAAAGCGTCATGGATAAGGTGAAGAGACTGCAGGAGGTAAGTTTTTTTTTCGAATGTCTTCAAAAGAACTCACCGGAGTTAGAGATACTGAGATAGGAGAAGTATATTGTCAGCTTCTGCTGTGATGTAAAATAGAAGTAAGTAATTTCATGTCTGCTCATTTCGTGTATTTCAGTCGGCATCGCCTATGACACCGTTGTCTCCCACTCATAATACTACCATTCCACCTGGAATGGATGAAGGAACTGAGCAGGAATACCTTAGACTTCAAGTTAAAGATCTGTCTGAAAAATTGGAGACGTTAAGGTGATTCATAGCGATTTCTAATATTTTCTCTGCTGTTCCATTCGCATTTCTCCGCTGGCTCAATCATTCGTAGGTGATGGTACCCTTACCATAGGTTCATTTTTTCCTAGCAAAATGTTATAAGATATTGAAAAAAAAACGTTTTTTGTCTCCAGGTTGAAACGTAAAGAAGATCACGGCAAGCTTGTCGATTACGAGCGCAGCAAAATTCAGCTCCAAGCGTTGATGGAACTGAAATCAAAAATGGCAGATCAACTTCTCGATCTGCAAGCGACAACTTCAAGAAGCAAGAAAGGTGCGTTAAATTTTTTTGGAATGAGGCTCACTTCATAACGACTCGGAGCGGCTCGGCTGGACGTTTCTTGGTATCATCACTTTGCTGATCCTTCTGTATAACCTGCATGTGTGGCTTCGTCTCCTTTATTTACAGTTAATTTTTTGTTGTCTTTTTTTTCAATAATGCTTTATTGTTCCCATCTGCATAATATTAGGAAGCTCTCGAAAGCCGAGAATGGAAGGAAGCGAATCAGGACGAGCTGAGTTCGGCGGCTGAGCAGCTTGAAATGGCTACGATTGACAAGGAGATGGCTGAAGAAAGAGCCGAAGCACTTCAGTCTGAGGTATGTCTTGATGTCTGTCCTAGCAGTGTTTTATTCAAAATGATTTAAGGATTCATATGTCTCTTATACTCTTTGACACGAAGCTAGAAATTTCAGCTGGATTCTTTAAAACTTCGGAACGAAGAACTCGAAGCGGATCTCGAAATTCTTCGTGAAGAAATGGCAGCTGGTGGTGGTGGCCTTATCAGCGAAGGAAATAGTGTGCAGCTAAAGCAGCTGGAAATGCAAAACGAAAGACTGAAAGAGGCACTCATCAAGTAAGCTTGTTGTTAGCTCCGGTGACTTAGTTTTAACTAATTGTAACGTATTGGATTAGGAGGATTAGGAAAAAAATTTCTAAGGAGTTTCTTGGAGTTAGGCAGCAGGTCTTGACCCACCTTCAAATATCAGTTGGATATTAGAGGCTAGCCATCCCAAAGTTTTGGAAGTTACTGGGTCACATTGTGGAATTTCGTTGAGAGTCGGATTTTTTCGCAGTGCTACAGAGTTGACCATCATTTTTCAAATTTCAGGTTACGTGATATCAATGCTGCCGCCCAAGCCGAAAAGCAAGCAGCAGTACGAGAAGCGGAAGTCCTTAGAACGGAAAACGTTCGAGCTTGTGAGAGCCGCCGAAATTGCAAGAAAAACAGCGCTTGATTCGGACATGCGTATTCACGATTATCAAGAGCAGGTATTATGTTTTCCCAATGACTTAAAATTCTAACTATTAAATCCTAAATGACAAATTAACAGGAGGAGTGGAGGGTTTCTTTTTTGGTAACTAACTAACTGGCAAAAACTCACATCGTTCACAGGATTCAACGCACTTTAATATTTTGGGTGCCTATTGTTTTTGGGTGCTATTTTGGGTACTCAAACGGCGATGCTGTTCATTTTGTGGACTGTTGCTCCTTTCCTTTTTTGCCATTATTAGTGAGGCATTTATCAATGCACCCAGTCACACTATCTTCAAGGCTCGCCTAACTCTATTGTTCCCTTTTTCATTATGGAACGCACTGCGTATTGACCCAGTAGGCTTTGAATCCTGTCGTGTCTTAATGCGTTGTCTAAAATACATCAAATAAAGTTGCAAGTGTTCTTGTGAGGGTTCAAAGTTTCGTTTGCACGAAGCTTTCGTTGTTTGACTGGAGTGTGACTGGCTTGCTTAGCGGCTTGCTAGATTCTTACCATCAGACTTAGGAATTTTCCTTTTAACGTTTTTGTCTCCGATATAATAGTCAACGTTATAGGCTTTTTTGCAGATAGTAGAACTTCATGCATGGGAGGAGGTGGGCTAGGTCTTGTGCGGTCTTTTTTATATACTCTACTAAATGCTTTCGGCGTACTTGTGTTGATTGCAATGAAAAACCTGTCAAATATTTATCTAAATTTTAGTTCCAAAAGTGGTTCTCACCTTACCCGCTGTGCATGATTGTTTTGGTTGTTTTAACGGCTGATTCACGATAGTCAATAGAATGAAAATGGCTTATTGTTTTCCACTTTAAAGATCGAAGCTGCAATGGGAGCTGAAGAGATGGTAATGAATCTGGCAAATAAAAACATGGAAATGGAGTCGCAAATCAGGTGAATTGTGGTCTTGATGCTCTTGTCATTGTTGTGTTCTTGATCAAAAGGCAATTGTAAGCAGTACCTAGGTAAATATTTGTAGCAAAGAAAAATGCAAATATGTACTTTGGTTTGCAATCTTATTATAAAATAGTTCATAGGCTGGAAATGTACAGCTTCTATTGAACTAAACATAGACCTCACGCATTCAAATTGCTCCGAAGTGGCCAACAATGGTTGTTGTACTTATCTTGAAATCAATTTTCTGCAGGCAACTCGAGGCTGATCGGGACGAGCTCGAAGCTCATCGAGATATGGATGAGCAGATGCTTGAAGAACAGAAACTCGTCGAAAAAGCATTGCTAGGGGAAATCGAAGGTCTCCATGTCAGAATCAGCGAGGTACGTTCACAGTGACCATGAACGTATACAAATAAGTTTTTGGTTACATTGTGCATCGAGGTTCATAATGTAAGTGTTAGTAATGGTTAGTTGACCTGCTCAATGTTTTCATTTGCTTCAAGGCTCATTATAGCTGTGACTTTAGTACAAGGCTGCTACCTTTAGTGCAAGGCTGAATTTGATGGGTTTTTGTTTATTAAGTTCACTATACCTTAAGAGAACAGCATTCCAGCTCCAACAAAGAATGAAGCAAGAAGATGATCATAGAGCTGAGCTTGTTTCGACCATCATGAAATTCAGAAAGAAGGTTGGCGAGCAGAACGAAGAAATTCAAGAGCTCAAGGATCAGGTGATCTTTTGAAGTCATCTGCGACTATTTCCTCTTGCATCTTTTGCGAAGTAGAAATTTAATTGTCCTGTTTTATGTAGAAGTCAATCAAAAAACTATTCTAGGTGCTGAGATATCAGGAAGAGCTGAGTGGTCATAAATCTGAGGAAAATAGTATGGCAAGCATGGTTAGCCAGATGCAGGTCAATGTGAATAGGACGTTTGCTGAAGTAAGCTCTTGCTAATTCTTTTTTATGATGGTCTCCGTCGAAGGAGAGAGGCAATGAGTTGTTTCTTCTTTCCGTGCTTATTATGTTTTGGAGTATTAGAAATATCACGTGTTGCAAGTCATTACCGAAAGAAGTATGAAAGAAAGGACTGAGATGGTCGAAAAAGAATGTTTGTTTTTAGTCAGTTGAACGTCAAGTTGCGGCTATAATCCTCGACCGATTCCACCCTGTATAATAGTCCTTTCTCTTCTGAAGATCCTTCTCATTTCAGCGCAGTGTCTTGAA